ACTTCGTTATTTAGTGTGGGGGGGCACACACCACGATGTAGCATGTGTATGAAGGTCAGAGGACAACTTGTGGGAGTCAATCCTCCTCTTCCACAATGTGGGTCACTAGGTCACCAGACTTGGTGGTAAGTGCTTTTACCCTTTGAGCCGCTAGGCCAGAGCAAGCTGGCTTGAAAGACTGGCGTTATTGGCAATCCTTGAGCTTGATTAAGAGACCCTGCCACAATGAGTAGGGTTGAAGAGTAATCAAGGATAATTAATTCTGGACACACACACACACACACACACACACACACACACACACACAGAGAGAGAGAGAGAGAGAGAGAGAGAGAGACAGAGACAGAGACAGAGACAGAGAGACACACACAAATTAAATGACTTTTAAGAAATCTTTCCCAATTCAAGCAGTTCAGATGTTCAGATGCAGGGTGTTCTAATTTAATTTCTGTGACAAAAAGCAACTTAGGGGAGAAAAGGTTTATTTTAGCTCACAGGTTATGTACCTTATTTGGGGGAAGTCAAGACAGCAGGGACTTGAAGCAGCTAGTCACAGCACATCCACAGTTAAGAGCACAGAGAAATGAATGGATAACTGCTTGTTAGCGCTCAGCTTGCTCTCTCTGCTTTCATAGTCTAGGATCCTCCTGCCTAGAGAATGGTGCTGCCCACAGTGGGCTAGGTCTTTCCACATCAATTCAATCTAGACAATCTCCCACAGACATGCCTATAGACCACCTGATCTAGATGGACTCCTCCTTAAGGCTCCTTGTCCTGGTGATTCCACACTATGTCAAGACGATAATTAAAACTATAAACACAGAGTACTTCTTTAAAAAAATTTTTTTTCTATTTATGCGAGTATACTGTAGCTGTCTTCAGACACACCAGAAGAGAGCATCGGATCCCATTACAGATGGTTGTGAGGCACCATGTGGTTGCTGGGAATTGAACTCAGGACCTCTGGAAGAGTATTCAGTGCCCTTAACCACTGGGCCACCTCTCCAAACTCCCACACAGAGTACTTCTTACTATAGTTTCTTGTATTTGCCACCATCAACACCTCCATCTCCATCCCTTCTTGGGTGTTAAAGGTCGGGCCGCTGGGTATCTTCTATCACCTCTAACTTGCTCTCTCTTACTGCTCACTGCTTACTTTCTCTGATGGATTCCAAGTTTTTAGATTCTGATAAGAGCTCTTCAGCACAGACTGAACTGGTTCTCCTTCCTTTGAATCCCCTCAGCTGTAAGAAATGGCGAGACGACACCTCCAGCTCACGCTCCCCCTTTCCACACGTTTCTTGGCAAATCTGAGGCTAATGCAGAGGATGACACCCACCTGCCTCCCTCCTCTTGTAATTCTTCCCTTATATGGGTTCGTTCTTTCGGGAAAGACAGCTGAGACCCAGTCTCGTGTGTGTCTCATCTCCTACGGCAGTGGGCACACTATGGATGCCTACCGTACCATCCCATATGTGCCACTGCTCAAACCCGAAGTGTCCTCTCCAGCTCGCTCGATCTTCTGAGGGCACGCTTGCATTCATCTGGGTCATCGTCTGGAGAGTGACCTCAGACAGCCACGTTTGCAGTTTTGAATGAGTTCATTAAATATATAGAAAGTCAAAGTCAAAGTGAAGGAGCAGATATATATCAGGCCGATTGGACTGCGTGCTCACACCATCCAGCAGGAATCAGCTAGGGAAGCCACGGGGAGGCAGCCAGCTGGAGTTCCCGGTAAAGTTCTGGGCAGAGCAAGAGTGTCCCCTCAGGCGACGCTTCCGAGGAAGAAAAACAAATAACAACAGCTAAAGATAAAAGTCATCAAATCATGAGTCACTCACAGCACCCCGGCGCAGCACCCCAGCACAGCACCCTGGCACAGCACCCTGGCACAGCACCCCGGCACAGCACCCAGGCACAGCACCCAGCAGGAACTATTGGGTAAAGTTGAAGCAGTGAACAGGAGGAAATCCCCACTTGCCTTTCCTCTCACAAAACCCGAGTTTCTCATGGCTGAACTTCCAACTTCTCTCTCCCACGGAAGACACTTTTATACTGTGGGGTGGACACTAGGGACCTCTGTCGGTTATGGGTTAGCCAGCTGCTGGAGAGCACACAGTGTTTCTACTCATGGGCTGTTTTCTTATTCTCTCCCTGTTCTGTCACAGGGTTAGGGGGTGGTGTTGGGTCCCCACTTTCAGGACCAGTTTATCGCTGAACTCAAAACAACTCACCGCAATTTTCTGATATGATATACATTACCACATGGCAGACCCAGTCACCAAGGAGGCACCTCTTCCCATATCCTGTAGAGGAAGATGGTCCACCCGCTGGAGCCCTTTCACTTTCAGACAATTCAGCCTTGATTGCAGTCTTATTACCCACTTCAGGGAGCAGGCAACAGCCACTGCAGCAAGGACCCTGCACCCCAACCCAGAGAAAGCTAGCCACACTGTGGTTGGCTCCCATGCATGGATGCTCCACTCACTGCTGGCTCTACTTCAGTTGCCTGTCTTAGCACCCACCCATAGCAGGGACCATATAGCCAACACATCTTTGGTCCTGTGGGCCCGTCCCCATTGGGGCGCTAATAGTGTCGTGTGCTTTCTTTCTCATAGCCCTGCACAAATATCCTTTTACTCCGGAGGCAGGGCGCTTATGATAGACCAAATTAAAAAATTCCACCCAATACTGGTTTGAACTAGTGAAATCACAAGGGTCACTTCTAGGACCATGGGTGACTCAGGCAGCTGTACCCCTGATTTGTCAAACCCAGCCTGGGTGACAACTCACAGAAGCTCTGTGACTGGAATTCCTATGGGTGGCTCCATCAGAGACTCCTCTCCCCCTAGTGAACAGCCGTTACCTCCATTAGGTCAGCTATTCCTGCTTGTGGACATCCATCACCGCAGGGATGAGTCTTCACCTGAGAGTTCAGTGGTTCTGCTTTAATTGCCGGAGGCTTTGGGGACCCTAGAAGTGCTAGGGTGTACAGGCTGGGGGTGATTAACTGAGAGGACGCCACCCCTGTGGTGAAGTCGAAGCCATTATTCCTTTTTGGATGAAAAGTTTCCAGCATGGCTGCTTTGGGATCAGCCCCATAAACCCATTGGTTTCCCATGGTTACTTTTGGTGAAATTGTACTTTGGTTTGTCATTCAGATTTTGTGAGGAGGGAGCTGACATTTAAATCTCCTGGGAGGAAGGGAGAGAATTTCCCCAAAACTCCCTTCTCCTCCTAGGAGGCAATGTTTCAAATTAGAGAAAATAGCTACAGAGTGGATCATGTCTGAGACTTCAGATGGAGATGTTAGAGCTGCCCTGCACACCAGGAATGGCCACATGTGCTTATAGTCCCTGGAGTTGAGACAATAGGACTGTGAACTTGAGACCAGCCTGGGTTATAGAGGGAGACTTGTCTCAAATAAATGAAGAACTGACCTTGGCTATGCAAGTCCCTGGCTCACGCTAAATATATCAACTTGGCAATTAATCATTAGGATACATGATATTCAGTTTTTTTTTTACCACACTTATTTATGTAGCATGAGTTTGGTGACACACACGTGTGTGGAGGGCAGAGAACAACTTGTGAGAGTCGGTTTTCTCCTTCCATCATGTGGGTTTGGGGATTTGAACACATGCTATCAGACTTGACAGAAAACTCCTTAAACTGATGAGCCATCTTGCTGGCCACTATGTGGTATTTAAAGTCATGAGCTGGGGTGGGGATGTAGCTAGCTCAGTGGTGGATAGCCAAGGTTTACTCCCCAGTTCTATGAAACAAACCTCCAACCAAGCTATGAGAAACCAAGGGAGGTACTCCTAGGTCTCGAGGGCTTGATAATTCGGGGGGCAAAGAGTGTCAAAGCAACAGTTGATTTTGTTCCCCTTCTGATTTGAAGAAATGGAAGGATGCATGGATGGATGTGTCTCCTTTGCTACTTTCTTGGAAAAGCTGGGTTGCCTTATAAACAGCCACCTTATAAGTAATCCATGAATCTCAGTGGCCTTCGGAGAGCTCCTAAGTTAGCTACCCCCACCCCCCATGTTAAGGATGAATGTTCACCTCTGAGTTCCAGTGCTAGACCCTTACTAGAGAACTACAGGCAAACACTTTAAACCAAGGTCAGAGCCCCTATCTGGGGAATTCTAGGCAGGAGCTCTACTACTGAGCCACGCCCCCAGCCCCTCACTGGGGGATTCTAGGCAGGGGCTCTACTGCTTAGCTATATCCCCAGATGACAACTGGGTTGGGCAACAGCCTCCTCAATATATCATGGGCAGTGGATATTTTTCACATCAGAACCAATTTACCACTAGGGCAGGAATTGAAAGCAGATTAAAAAACAAAAAAAAACAAAAAAAAAAAAAAAACCCCAAAAAAAAAAACACCACAAAGGTGTCTGAGGAGATGGCTTAGTTGATAGAATGCTTGCTGTGTGTGTAAGCATGATGTTCTGAGTTTGATCCCCATACCCGTGTACAAAGCAAAAAAGCAGGGCTTGCTGGTAAGTGCTTATAATCTTAGCACTTACAGGTAGGGGCAGACACAGGCAGAACCCTGTGGTTCCGCTTGATGAGTTCCAGGTTATGGGGAGACTATACCTCAAACGAGAGATAGACAGCACCCAAGAGGTAACACTCAAAAGTTGTTCTCTGGCTTCTGTATACACAGCTACTGCACACACATGTGTGTGAACTTGAACATGCACCAACACATACACAACCTCAAAGAAACCCAAGACAATGCCCTTTAAAAGGTTTGTATTTATTAGTCGTTGCTAGAGCAGTTAATTCTCTTTTCTTATTTTGTTTTTGTCGTTGTTTTTAAAAAATGTGTTTCATCCAGAGTTATATCAAAGCGGTTAAAATGAATTTTCTCCTGAGGATACAGCTCCCCAGACTAGACATAGTTTTTTTTTTTCTCTCTCTCTCCCAAATTAGCCACAAAAAGAAAACCCAAAAAGCACACCAACAATCAAACATCATCCCCAAATATCCAGGACAAAAAATAAAATATTTTATTGATCTATCACAGCGAAACACAAAGAGGTGGGGTGGTGAGACATGCTCTGTAAGAGAGTGGCTCCAGGGAGGATGGGGGTTACAGTACTGCATGTGGGGACGACCAGACCGCACAGCCCTTTGCACCCTAGGCCAGCATTGGGGTGTGTGGCAGGGGTGGGAACAGGCTGCCATGACAGGTGGACCAGGTTGATAAGTGGGTGTGCCCAGCCAGCTTAATGCCACTAGGCAGTCAGGATGGACGGACGGATGGATGGATGGATGGATGGATGGATGAGTAGGTGGATGGGTGGTTGGCAGGTGGATTCCGTAAGAACAAGGGAGCTATTCCCAGTGTGGGGAGCCGTCTGACTCCACGGTGTCCCAGATGTGGGAAGTAGCTATTGTTAATGGGAGACAGGGACAAGGGGGACCCAAAGAGAGAGGAATCATGTCACCAAATCCAACGTCAAGGCTTCTGGTACTTGGGTACCAATGGGATGCAGCCAGGAATGGCTCCTGGTGGGCAGGGGGAGGTGGGACTGCCCAATATGTGCACCATCTTAACAGAGGGGCTTCAGGGAAGGAGGGAGTCCCCCCTGGGATACCCTTCCCTCCTCCCTCCCCCCACAAAGAAGAAGCACCAACATGTAGCACCAATTTCCCTTGGAGATGGAGACTGTGTGGGGGAGCTCCCGGGTGGGAAGAGATGGGACACCCGCCCTGGCCTCTGATGTAGGGAGGAAGTTTCTGGCTAGGGGTACGTGGCTGCTGCTGTCTGATTTCCTTGTCCTGTGGGTTTCCAAGGCCACTGGCCTGCTGTCCCCTCCCAGGTGGGGGTCAGGGGGATGGAGTAGGGGGTGGTCATAGAAGGTTTACATTCTCCACCAAGCAGTAGCACCAACGTTGATGAGGTCGCGAGTGAGGGGTCCCCAGAAGATCACTTCCTCTTCCGGCCACAAGATTTCCCAAAGCAGCCCCCACCTGGGTTGGAATGGGGCACAAACAGCGATGGTCAGCTTGGTTCCTCTGTCTGCTTCCATCCCAGGCTTAGAAAATCTAAAAGAAGCTAGTCTGTCCTTCTGTCCATCCTTCCTTCCTTCCTTCCTGCCTGCCTTCCTTCCTTCCTTCCTTCCTTCCTTCCTTCCTTCCTTCCTTCCTTCTTTCCTCCACCCTCTCCTTTTTTGAGACAATATCTCATGTAGCTCAAGCTGGCCATGAACTCAGTACAGAACTGAGAATGACCTTGAACCCCTGACCCTTATGTATCTACTTTCCAAGTCCTGAGGTTATAGGCTTGTGCCACCTTGCTTGGTTTTATACTATGCTAGGGATGAAACCTAGAGTTATATTCTCATTGCTTGCACTCGGGCTCTCTCTCTCGCTCCCTCCCTCCCTCCCTCCCTCCCT